TGCTAAGGGCCTCTGGTGTAATGTCAAAGACAGACTCTGAAACAAATGGCCACATGAAAACAGGATAAGTGCTATGAAAGGGAAGATGGGGCTACCCAGAGGCAGAACAGTTAAGCTGAAAGCTGAAAATGAGTAGCAGTTAACGAAAAGAGAGCAGGGGACTAGGGAGGAGGAGCATTATAGGCAAACAGCAAGACAGAAACACACGCTGCCTCCAGCTATTAAAAGGTCTGAGTGGCTGCAGCGTGGCAAGCTGGGACAGGCAGGTAGGGGCCAGAGTGTGTGGGCTGTGAGGCTGGGGGCTGTTTCCAGGGAAGGGGTCTTGTGCTGAGGGCGACCCTGGGGCAGCCAGGGAAGGAACCTGGAGGAGAAACAATTAACCTTGGCGCAACATTCCTCAACTTGGCCAGCCTTATCTTCGCAAAGTCCTTGGGAGACTGGCTAGGTGGGGATAGTGATATGCTTTTATGCTTTACAAAGATGAAGAAACTGAGACCCAGGGAGATCATGACTTGCCCAAGGTCACAGAGCTGGTAAATAAATGACAGGGCAAGACTGGAACCCAAGTGGGTCTCACTTCAGAGCCACTAAAACTAGAGGTAGATAGATTCACTCACTAACTCATTTGTTCATTCATTCATTCCATATACTGAACCCTACCATCTCACTCTTCTTGGAACGGGATTTTAGTAGTAAATTAGACCAAGGAAACAGATGAGACCAGGCTAAAGAGTTTAAGCAACAGGGGGATGGACTGGTTTCTGGGAAGGCTGAGCTGAGCTGCCCCCCTCCCTCAGGGCAGGGAGGGCCATTGTTTTCGTTCCCAGGAGCAAACTGCCACAAGCAATAGCTTCTCAGAAGCAAAGGTGTTGAGTAAACTTTGACCTTCTGCCATCATTTGTTCTCTCAGACCCACAGTATCTAGAACTGTCGGGGAACAAGGAAGCAGATTTCCTAGTGGCAGAAAGAACACTCCAGTCCACCCCCCAGGGCTGCGGTCCCTCTACACTATGAGCTCAGTGAGGGCAGGGGCTGCGCTCTCCTGTTTACCCTGGGTCCCCACTGAGCCCAGCAGAACCTGGCCAGAGGAGGTGCTCAGTTAAGACTGGTAGAATTATTTAAAGAGCAAGGGAGAGATGAGGAAACTTATCTGCAATATCTGAAGGCCACTCCATGACTTCAGTGAGGAGTTGGCCATACAGTTGGATCCTTTCCTACTGATTCAGTGTCACAGGGACTTGGCTCATCAACTGTCCTAGGGAGGAGACCTGGAAAGACGAACGGAGAAGTTACTATTCATTGATATTAGGCTTTCCATTTGTTACATGACAACCCTGAGAAGCCTACAGCCTTCCTCTGTTTGGGAGGAAAAGAGACTCAGAAGGGAGAAGGGCCTGTTCCAGTTCTCTAGCTAGTAAGTGGGTTCTAAATCCCAGGCCTCCTTCCAAAGATTCTGTTTCTGATATACCATGAACCGGGGAGGGGTGTGGAGGGTATGGAAAGAAGGGTTGTCTAAGATTTGCTGATTTCGCAGGAGGCAGAATCAGAGCGCCCCACTGCCATTACCAGCAAAAGGGAGAAATTCCCAGTTGCAGGCATTAGGGGTGGGGTGGGATGAGGGTGGTCGCATCTATAGACTTAGAACCTTAAGGGGTAAAAGGAGGCTCTCCATGTTCCTGGGTCAGCGGAGCCTCTAGCTCAGCTTCTTTGGCCTCTACCTCTAGGCTTTTTGCTGTGCCAGTAGCACATTCCCTAGTGGAGGCAGGGAGTGTCCAGGAAACAGCTGAAGATGCTGAGCAGGCCTCCTTCCTCCTCCTCCCCATGGCCCCATGGATCATCCGGTGCCGCCAGCTCATCTCATTGGCTCACTCCTGGTTACTCATCTCTCCTCTTCTCCATCTTCCCAGCCTGTGGTTGCCATGGAAACATAGAACAGTGACATCACCATAGGGCGAGGGCTGGGGAGATGCTGCTCATGGCAAGCATTGGTCCTCCTGCCTGCCCGATGTTATATTCACGTCTGAATCTGCCAAGGGCAAGAAAGGGGAGCAGGAACAGGGACAAGGCTCACATCCTCCCCCAAATACAGTGAGCACAAAGAGCAGGAAGGATGCAGGCACTCAGAGGGCTGAGGAGAGAAATGTACATACTTAGAAGGGAGAAGGATGAAAATCAGGTGGAAAGGAGATGGTGTGCAGCTTATGGGTCAACCTTGGTGACCTATGTCTGAGCATGGTGGGGAGGTGGGGTTAGGGCAGTGAGGGGAGTTGGTCGGAAGTTTGTCTAGAGTCCCTCAAAGCCCCATGCTGCTCAACTTGGACAGGGCCCAAGATAGGGAGCAAAAGTATTTTCTGGCAGTGTCCCTACCTCGACCCATCCTGAAGACCTCGATCGATAGCCCCTTCTTCACAGCTGCAGCAGTTTCTAATCCTGTCTCAGAAATAAGGAAATTGAGGATTAGAGAAGCAAAGTGATCTGACTTGGGTGACTGACCCAGCAGGTGAGGGGCAGAGCTCAGGCGAGGCTTTAGGTGTCCTGCACTATCCAAGGAGACAGTAACAACAGCAGCATGAGGAGCAGCAGCAGTGGACATTTACTAACTCAACCATGCTTGGCATTTTTTAAAAAAATTTTTAAGGGATCTTGCTATGTAGCCCAGGCTGGTCTCAAACTCCTGGCCTCAAGCAATCCTCAGCCTCAGCCTCCCAAGTAGCTGGGACTCTAGGCATGAGCTCATGCTCAGAATTTTAAATGTATTATCTCATTCGACCCCCAAACTCCTGCATTTTAAAGATGAAACTAAGACTCAGAGTGGCTTAAGTGAATTGCTCAAGGCCACGCAGCTAGTACCCAAAGAAATCCAGATTGGAATATGGATCTGTGAGCAGCTGTCAGCCTAGCCCGAGCTTCTCCTTCACTGCACTGTAAGGACCACGCAAGGAGACAGCTCTGGCCCCTGGGTCTCCAGCCACTCGGTCCTTGAGAGGAGAGGCCCTATGTCTGAAGGCTGTGACCCTGAGTCAGAAACCATTCCACTTCCCTCCTCCCCAGCACCTGTTCCAGCAGTGAGGTCACCGGGGCTCAATGCCGAGCCCTGAGGCCTGTCCCTCTAGCTTTGGCAGAAATGGTCCTCTTAGTCTTCTGGCAACTGGACTGTCCAAGGGAATCAAGACCTTCGGGTGAGAGGGGGCTCTTCCTCCCTGGCCTCCTTCCCAGAACAGTGGGGGGAAGGGAGGAAGGGACTTGGACGTGGAGAAACAGAGGCCCAGGAAGGAGGGCCCACCACACTGTGTGTGTGTGTGTGTGTGTGTGTGTGTGGCAGAGTTAGCTGGCCCAAGGGCTCCTGTGCTGGCTCCTGAATGCCCATCCTGGACAGGCCTCTGCTGGCTGAAGCTCGGCTCGGCACCACTCCGTGGCGTGCAGGGCCTCCTTCTACCCTTAGCAATTCACTTCCTCCCTTCCTCTGGGAAGCCTTTCCTGAGCCCTCAGGTCAGGACAGCCACCACACTTTAGTCGCTGCACTTGTTTTGTGTTTGGCTCCCCAGAGGTCAGCTACTCAAGTGTCTTGTTCATTTCTCTCCAAAGCAGGGCTTGGCACAAAGTAGGTGCTTTAAAACTGCTGAAGTAATGAATGGGCTCCCTGGAGTTTTTTTTTTTTTTTTATGAGACAGAGTCTCACTGTGTTGCCCAGACTAGAGTGCCGTGGCGTCAGCCTAGCTCACAGCAACCTCAAACTCCTGGGCTCAAGCGATCCTCCTGCCTCAGCCTCCCGAGTAGCTGGGACTACAGGCATGTGCCACCATGCCCGGCTAATTTTTTCTATATATTTTTAGTTGTCCAATTAATTTCTTTCTATTTTTAGTAGCCCTGGAGCTTCTGTTTGTTCATCTGTAAAAAAGGGATAATAATATAGCTACTTTGTGGATTTTGTTTTACAAGTTCCAAGAGACAATGTACTCAAAGCCCTAGGCATGCAATAGACATCAATACAACGTGGCCTTTATTTTTATTGAAAGTGCTTTGCCAACGGTAAAGTGTCAAACTACCGCACAGTAGGCTCTTTTAAGGAGGTGGCAAGTTCTGTGAAAGCGCAGGCTTGCTTGCTGGCGTGCAGAGGTCAGAGAAAGGGCGGCAGGTGGCCTTGAAGAGCTGACTGAACTGGCAGAATTTCTGAAGGAGGGTGAGGGGGAACAACCTGAGCAAAAGCTGTGCCAAGAGACCAGAAAAGCCCGGAGACATGCAATGGCGGTGGCGCGGGGACTGCAGGTGGCGAGGAGGGGGTGCACCGGCGGGAGACATTCCGCAGGGAGGGGCAAGCACGTGCGAGGCGGCGCGGCGCAAAGGGAAGATCCGGCTTTGGGCTTTTGCCCAGAGCAGGCGGCGACACCCGCAGCTCAGCCGCGGACCGTGTTCCTGGTGACCGTCCCCGCAACCAGGCAGTGGGAGTGGTGGGGGAGCACGGGCACTGAAGCCGGCTAGACCAGGCTTGCAATCTGGGCTCCAATTCACCCTCTCCTTATTTCTAGCGATCTTGTCAGTTCCCCTCCCAGCCTCCAGCCAGAACAGTCAACCAGAACTTTCTCCGGCGTGGGCACCTCCCCAAGGGCAAGGTCCCTTTCTCCTCTAGTCTCATCTCCGCTCTGACCCCAAGCTCGGAGGACTGGGGGACGGATGTCCATGGCCTGCGCCCTGGCTCGCAGGCGGGTGCCCAGCTGCTTCTCAGATTTCGAAGAGCGCTTTGAGGCCAGGGAAGGGAGCAAGTCTTGCCAGCCTGGGGCAGGGACTGGGAGCCCAGGCACCGCGCTGACGCTGACGCAGGAGAGCGGGGCGCTACTGGCTGGTCCCCGACCCCCCCACTCGGTGGGTTGGGGGATGGGCGGCCAGCCCCTCGTGGGTGAGCCCCAGCCTGGGGCTTCCTATTTTGGGAGCTGGGGGCGTGGGCCACACGTCTCATCATGTGATGCAAGGGCTATTTAAAGCGGCAGCTCCGGCAGGGAGCCGCCGTTCCCGAGTCCTTGCCCGCCTGCTCTCTCGCAACTGCTTTCTCAGCCTAGCCCAGCATCACCATGGTGGACGCCTTCCTAGGCACCTGGAAACTAGTGGACAGCAAGAATTTCGATGACTACATGAAGTCAATCGGTGAGCGAGCCGCGGGGCTCCGGATGCTGGGCTGGGAAAGGGCTGGCCGCGTGCTTAGCCTCCGCAGCACTCCTTCCTGATCAGAGCCCTGCGCGCCTGCTGGGAGGGGGCTTTCGTGGTCTGAACCTGGAAAGAGGGATACCAAGGTAGGGAGGCACGGGAAGAAGCCAGTTGTGCCTCTCCATATGGGAGACGCTTTCAAGGAAGAGGGGTATATGATCTGGAGGTAGAAGCGGGGTTTGGATAAAAGGAAAGCATTGATCATAGGAGGTGAGAGGCTAGCCAGGGAGGGAGAAAGATAACAGAGGCATGGGTGGTTTAGAAATTGAAGACAACCCAGCAAGGAAATGGAGTGGATAGGGAGTGTACTATGGCCTAAAGAAGTAGGAATACCCCACAGGAGTGGGGCTAAAATGGTTAATCAGTAAATTGGATATGGGGAGGAGGTGAGACAGGGACCTGCCCCTCCATGTTGGGTTAGGGAAGAGGACTGCTGCTGGAGGATGTCCTATCTCCTGCCACCCAGTCTTACCTTGCCCTGCAGAGGTATGTGACCATGCCTAATCACTGTCAATGAGCCTAGTGGTAGGGTGGGGCAAGAGGCCCATCATCAGCTGGGCCTTTCCTACAGCCCATGGCTCAGCCACCTATGCAAGGGGTAGGGTGGAGAAAGCCATTGGACTTATGAGGTGCAGCAGAGGGTCCCAGAGCAAGGTCAAGACCTATTAAAGGCAGGGAGGGTCATTGCTCTGGGAGGGTGAGGATAGCTATTGTGGTGTTGGGACCGGGAAGAACAAAGATTCCAAGACTCTTATAGGTGAGGACCTTGGAGATCACCATGCCTTGCCTCGTTTGACAGATAGGGAAATTGAAACCAGGAGAACAGAAACTTGTCTTACCAACTCCACAGTAGAGCTGATATGAAAACCTACTAGATTTGTAACTCAAAGCTGTTGCACTACCCTGTAGGCCCTGGGAGTGGGAAGAGCGGTAGGAACTGTTTAGCTAATGACTGACCTCAGCCCTTCCCCTTCTGGTTTGGGCTTAGATGGAGAGGATACCTGTTCTCTGAAATTCCCAGCTATGAGAGTATCCTAGTCTCCCAGGCTGGGACAGGAAAAACTGGAATGGTGTTCATGGATGAGCTAGAGTACCTGCCTTCCTCCCAAGAAAGGAGGGCTGGATTGTGGCAGATATGCAAAGAAGGGGTAGGGAAGTCCACTCCATGCACCTCACCCTTGTCTGAAACAGGGCCTACAAGTGTGGCTCTTGAGGCCAAAGCTCTCAACTGCCCCTACCCTACCCTGGGCACTATACCCAGTGACTCCAGGTAGGCAGCCATTCTTAATGAAGCAACCCCTGCCCCCGCCCCCCAGCAGCCACTGGGGAAGTTGGAATGCCCAGGTTTAGTTCTTCTTTCCGAAGCAGACATTTGGGCCAAAGAGCCAAGTCTCTGACTAAGCTGCCAACAACCTTACCACCCTTGTTCCCTTATTCTTCCCCAACTTGGGCTAGGGGGCTGGTCTGCCTAAAGACCTGTTGTCTTTGGGCAGCTTATGTTAGGGGGCTGAGATTCCACCCACCCTGCTTTTCCTGTTGTACTGATGGAAAGTCTGAGGCCCACTGGAGAGAAAAGACCCTCCTCAGCTTTCATTTCTAAGTAGGACCTAGCTCTTCCTGAGTCTCCTAAATTCTGTCAGCCCAGTCTTTTTAGGTTCTCTTGGCTCAGTCCCTCACTCATCCCACAGGGGTTTCCTTCCCCAAACACTCCACACCTCTGGGTAGGTCCTAAGCAAACAGAGCTCTGGGGTGTGGTGACAAGGCCCTTCTCTGTGCTAGGGAGTGTGATTGGCCTGACTCACTGATACCAGTGGGTAGGGCCAAGTCACTCACTGGCCAGGCAGGGTGGCCTGGCATCTGCACAGCTGCAGAGGCAGCCTCTGCCCTTCTTACTCTAAACCGAGGGTTCACAGAGGACAAAGAGGCTCAGCCTAGTACTAATAACCACAGGCACAACTGGTGGCCTTGGTGCTTGGATTGAGTACGTGCTGGGCAGAACGGCTCAGTGGGAATAGTGAACAGTTTTAGAGGCTAGATTCAAATCTAGGTCAATAACTTACTTTTTGTTTGACTTTGGACAAGATACTTCACTCTTCTCATTTGTAAATTGGGGATAATAAAACCTACCCTTCGGGACTATTAAAAGCATTAAGTAAAACGACCCATGTAGGGCACGTGCAAACTACCTAGCTTCCTGGAAGCACCATGAAGGCTGGCACATTTGGAGACTTTACACGCACCACCTCACCACACTGGGCTGCCTCCTGCCTCACTGTTGCCTTGGAAGAAAGCTCAGCATAGGCTGGTGGGGGTGGCGGGGGCAGTCATGATGAAACTCGCTTGCTGGAAACTCAGGACTTAGCCCAGAACCCAGGGAAGCCATGCTTGGGTCAGGAGAGTCCCCACAGGGCCTTGGACTGGAAGTCAGGAGACCTGGGTTTGAGTCTTAACTCATTGTTGCTACTACTTTAGGCCTTTCTTAAATCTATACAATGGGACAAATATTCCCTTTGTACCTACCTCCTAGATCATAGATAAGAGGCTTTGAAAATGTCGGGTTGTCACATATGGGGGACAAGAGCACTAATGCTTGTTAGGATTCAGGGCAAAAACTTCCAAAGGTGGAAAACTCTTGTTCCTAAGGCGTTGGAATGCAAAGTCCACATTTCTTTCCTCACAGTGTGGTTTGACAGCTGCTCAGGTTGCCCTTGAAGGCAGTGGGTGCTCCAGCCTTGGAGGGTGCTATGGCTGAGCAGTTAAGTGAGCTCTGGAGTCAAACAATTCTGGGCTTCAGTCTCCGATTTGTGACCCTGGGCTTTAACTGTATCTCAGTTTTTGCATCGGTAAAGTGGAGACAGTCTTCGGAGGGACGGGAAGAGCTCAATGAGATAACATATATATAGTTGGTGTCACACAGAAAGCACTTAGTAGTTTATTCTAATCCCAGCTCTGCCACTGACTTGCTATGGCATTGCTAGTGCTTAAGTTTCTCACCTGACTGATGGGATCAGTAGTCTCTGTTCACCCCACAGAACTAAGGGGAAGACTGAATTTAAAAACTGTCATGCAGGCCAGGTGCAGTGGCTCACGCCTGTAATCCTAGCACTGTGGGAGGCTAAGGCAGGAGGGTCGCTTGAGCTCAGGAGTTTGAGACCAGCCTGAGCAAGAGTGAGACTCCATCGCTACTAAAAATAGAAAAATTAACCAGGCGTTGTGGTGCACACCTGTAATCCGAGCTACTTGGGAGGTTGAGGCAGGAGGATCGCTTGAGCTCAGGAGTTTGAGGTTGCAGTGATCTGTGATCATGCCACTGCCCTCATGCCCAGGCAACAAAATGAAACCCCGTCTCCAAAAAAAATAAAAATAAAAACTGCCATGCAAAGGCTTTGAAACCTACTGCCTTCCTCTTCCCCACACTCAGACCTAGGAGTTATTCACTGAGCTCCTTGTACAATGCTCTCTGCTCCAGCCCATATACTCTTAACTTTTCACCTGCCCTCAGGGGTGGGTTTTGCTACCAGGCAGGTGGCCAACATGACCAAGCCTACCACAATCATCGAAAAGAATGGGGACACGATCATCCTAAAGACACAGAGCACCTTCAAGAACACAGAGATCAGCTTTAAGCTAGGGGTGGAGTTCGATGAGACAACAGCAGATGACAGGAAGGTCAAGGTGAGTCAGAGAAGGGGGCACTGGGAATGGAGGGTGCTGAGACCCCAAAGTGGAACAGGCTGGTAGTCTTGGCTCCCTCATACTGCACCCTGACGTGCAGGCTATTATAAGGGATTTAAATTAAAAAGGTTAACAAAGCCTGTGTAGTGCCTGGTGGCCACAGGTACTAAATACATGTTAGTTCTGTCCTCTTATTTTCTTCCCTCGCTTCTTGGGAAGCATCAGTTAGCTGCCTTGGAAGGTGGGCAGCACAGAGCCCAGATGTCCTTCTGACCTCAGTGTCTACTCTAGCTCCAGCTAGGTGACCTTGTGCAGGGTATGCAGAAGCTCTGGGTTTCTTTCCCTTTCCATAGATGGGGGAGTTATGTGGCCATGGCTGTGACCTGAAGTGCTTTAGGAAGGATGCCCAGAAGTCAGGGCCCTCCACTGAGTGAGGTCATCCTGGCCTCCAGCAGCAAAGAAGGCAGCTGGGAACAAGAGGCTGAGACCTACTCAGATACTTCTTCAACCTCCAACTCCTGGGCTTGGCCAATGACCCTGACAAACTATTTCCAGTGTTGCCAGTTGATAGGCATGAAGAGCTGTGTTCCAAGATGGGGCATTCACATTGTCATGGGTGTGTTTGTATTGTCTTCCCACCAAGCCTTGGCCCCCTCTCCCAGGGCTCTGTCACCCTGCAGTGGCTCTGTCTTGGCAGATTGTCTCAGGTCTTCCAGCACTGGGCCGGGCACAGGAGAGAGAGAACTTAGGGGCTTTGGCCTGTACATAGTGTCCCTATAGCAGTATCTTCTCCATTATGACACCATCATTCAGCCCCTCAGCTGTTTCCCCTTCCTCACAGCTGTCCCTGCAAAGGGAAGGGAGGGTTGGTCTCCTTGAGGAGGAAGAGCAGCTGAAGCCTAGCCCAGGATATCACAGGAGGCTGGCAGCAGAATTAGGGACGGTGCCCAAAGATGGCAGCCTGCTTTGGATAAAGGTGGCTGCCCCACCACACATGTTCCTATCTCCTTGGACTTGCCCCCCTTCTCAAGGGGCAAGAACACCAATTAAACACAATAATAGCCCTCTGGGAGACCTAAATATCTGCTGAGTGTGTAAAAATATTTGGGGAAATGAGAATGAGGAGTAAGGTGGTGACAAGAACAGCACATCAAGGAACAGGTCCCATCTTCCTCCTCCCCCAAACAACACACATAGCCTTCTCAGACTCTCCTGCTGAACCTGCTCAGTCAGGATCCCTTAGCCTAGCCTAGAGCCCCCAAATTCCTAGAAAAGAGAGACCTGGGAGAGCTGCCAAGTGAGAACCAGCTGAGGTAGGCTGGCAGCACCCAGAGGACTAAGTAGGCATTTGACCCAGGGCTGAGGAACACTCCAAGGGCACCCAGTCCCAGGACCTCGTAGTTGCTGCCCTCCTCAGCTAAAGGGGTCACATGATGTGGACCAAGACGAAGCATAGGAATACAGGGCAGGAAGTCTAACTTTCCAATACTTTCTATCGCCAAAGGTCTTTTAGATATTATGTGTGATAACCACAAGGCTGCAGAGAGATTCTCAGGATTACTCCTTCTCCTTAGCTAGTCTTTCCCAGGGACACACACTGGCACATCTGTGGGCATTACCTAGAACAGATAAGTCTTAAAGGCTTGTGGCACTTCTCAGAGCCAGGCTGTCTGGCTCCACCATACTATCTGCCTCTTCCTACTTGCCTAATACCTGAAGGCCCCTCCCCAGCAAGGTAGTAGGGAAGCAGAGGTTGTAAGTGAACTAGACTGTAGGGCTAGGTGGGAGGTGGGTTGCATTAGCTCTGGTCCTCACCATCACTAGTTTAGTAAGAGGCTATGTCCTCTATACCTCATCCTGCCCCTCAGTCCTGACTCAGATCACAACTCAGGCCTCCACTCTCTTTCTACAGTCCATTGTGACACTGGATGGAGGCAAACTTGTTCACGTGCAGAAGTGGAACGGGCAAGAGACGACACTTGTGCGGGAGCTAAGTGATGGGAAACTTATTCTGGTAAGACAGACAACTATGGAGCCACACCTAATTGGTTACTCCTACAGCCCCTTAGCCAAGCCTGTTTTAAAAAGCCAAGGTTCTCTCCCGAGAGCCAAAGAAGCTGGGACAAGAGAGGTGGAGGCAGGGTCAGGGTCAGGGTCAGGGTGGTATTAGGTGGGGATTTCCTCTGTAGTGGCTTTGGACTCATACAGGCCTCAGTTCAAATCTCAGCTTATAGGCTGCGTGACTTTGGACGAGTCAACTTCTCAAAATGCACCTGTAAAATGTGTATTAATAACACCAACCTGTAGGGCTGCTGGGAAGTTTGAAAGAGCCAGTGTATGCACAGCACAAAGCATCATTGAGGTGAGAAGAATACAACAGGTACTCCATGTCCTTAATTTCTTCCTCCTGTGTTTCCACCTTGCCTTGCCCCAGGAAGAGGAAGAAAGCAGGCCGAATCTGATAAAAAATAGGCTGGTGACTGGTGAGGCACTGCCCCATTCCAGTCCCACCTCCTCTCAGTGTTTTCTGTCTGGGCTGCTACAAGGACATGACTACTGCCTGGCTAGAAGTTAACACAACCAGAGTGGCAGATCTGTCTGTTTAGGGATAAGCTTGGGGGCTTCACTTGGAGAATGTAACTGACTGAATTCCCCTAAGACCCAGCGGTAGAGAGGGCAGCCAGCTGTGGTCTCTGCCTCCTAACTCTGTAGAGCCTCAGGTTTTCACTTCGGCAACTTCACCGCATACCTTCTTGAGTCAGGGTAACCTGTAAGGTGCATTTTTGCAGTCACATGGGACAAGGGTCCCCTTGGAGTTAGGAATGAGGTGCCTAGCTTTGGTGGGGATGTGATAGGCAGGACCAAATTCTCACCGCCCCCATCTGACTCTGTCTTTCCTTCCAGACACTCACACACGGCAGCGCAGTTTGCACTCGCACTTACGAGAAGGAGGCATGACCGGCCCGTGCCTTCGCTGACTGCTCCTCTGCCAATCAGCTGACCCTCGACTCAGAACCACATTGCCTCATTTTTTCCTCTGCATTTTGTATAAATCCATCTCGGCTGAGGGATTCTTCTGGGGTCAGGTGCCCCCAGCCTGGATCCAGTTCCTGTTCCCACTGTGTGTGTGGTGTTTTTTTTAAAACTGTATTCAAAGGGTGCTCTGAGGTCAATAAAGCAGAGCCAAGGGCACCCAGTTGCCTTTTTGCCTTTGGTGACATAACTCTGGGAGTCTCGGTTTCCCCTGTGTGTCAGACAGTGGGCAGAAATGACTGCCTGAGGGTCATTCAGGAAGAAGCACTGATTGAGAGCCTGAAAGGGCCAGTCTCAGGGACTGGCAGTCAGCTGACCACCTTACACGTTCAGTAATGAAACAGCTGTGCCTACCCCTGGCCTTACACCGCCCCTCCCCATGGTCAAGTGAGCTAGTCCAGTCAGTGGTGGGGTCTCCTGAGGCTTGGCTACAGAAATGTCACCTCAGGCCCATCTTGCACTGACTAATCTTGGGCTGTGGTCTCTCCCTTTCCAGAATCCAGGTGTAGGATACAGGACCCAGGCTTGTGCCATGGTGGTGGGAGAAAATGAACACTGGCCCAGATGACTGCTGAGCTCCCACCTGGGCACCAGCCTAGTACTCACAGTTACAAATTCTTACTGCTTCTCTAACCAACCCTGGGGGAAGAAGTTGTCTGACCATTACAGAGGAGAGGGCTTATAGGTGATCTCCCAAGAAGTCTGGGGCATGCTCGGGCCTCTGGCTCTGTACCTCAGCTAGGCCTCTCTCCAAGGTCTAAGGTAACATATTAAATGTTTTTCTGTCACCTAATGCAGCTCAGTGGATTTAAATCTATAAGTTACCCAGAAAGAAGGATTATAGGAATAAGAATTTTCAGTAAGTTTAAAACCAAACACACTTCTATTTAGTGCCAGGAATTTAAGCAGGGACCTGAAGTAGAATCAACTGACTCACACAGTAGTAAATACAAAGTGGAACAATGATCTTGGTTTCAGTTGTCCAGTTCAGTGGTCCGCTGGAATGGCATACACTAGCTAAGTCACACGGCAAATGATCGCTGTGGCCACTGGCTGTCCCTTCTAGCACAGAACCATGTTGGGGGATGGAAAGAGTGAGCACCACTTCTTAACACATTCTCCCTCTGGCTGCCAGTCTCTCTGTCCCCATGTTGGATGCAGCAGAGATCACCCACCAGTTGGCCCAAACAGACCAATAGAAGGGGCCAATCACTCTGTTCTCCAACTACAGCCAGACTTACCAACACAGCAGTCCCTGTGGCTCTCGCCTGGACTCCTGTGCAGGAATCCGGCTCTGGCAGTGGCCGCTGGAGAAGGTAATAGGACCTCCTGCTGAATGAAGGAAGCTGGATGAATGAATGTGTGAGCGGCAAGGGGTCACTTGCAAAAGGACCAGGAGTGATAAGGAAACAACAACTCATTCAGGCAGCTCCTTGTGACCTCTAACTCCCAAACCTGCCTGTTGTATGAGGGGAAGCCATCTCCCATGGGAGTGAACTTAATGGGGTGGGAAGCCATATTCTCACTGTTGAGTCTTTCTAGGAGCCAGGGCTTCAAGGCACAAGGCCCCTGGTTCCTACTCTCAGCCACCCTCTGCACTCTTGCTACTCTCACTCCTTGTGCTTCTTCTTGTGCTTCTTCTTCTTTTTCTTCTTCTTTGCTGCCTTGCTGTCTTTTGATGTGTGCCTTGCCCTCTTGCCTGTATCACTCTCAGAGTCTGAGCTGTCAGAGTCAGATGACTTCCTGTCTCTATGTTTCTTTTTCTTCTTTTCCTGAAAAAAAATTAAAAACTCAACATTGTATGTATATATTTGCTTTTAAAAAAATCACAGCACATAATCAATAGGGAGCAACTTAATAAATTATAAGACATTAATTAAAAACAAAAAAGTAAATCTTTAAGTACCAAAAAGAAAAAATAGCCAAAACAAGTAAAAGAACCAAGGCATATACATTATATATTGTAGATTCCAGTGTGTATAACATGTTTGTTTATATATACACGCACACCATATACTATGTAGATATTTACACATACCTGCATATATTTAATATAGACAGAAAACACTGGAAAGGACGCATCAAACTGGTAACAAGCGTTACCTCGGGAATGAACTGAATGGGGGGAAGAACAGGGGGCTTTCACTTTTTCCTTAATTCTGTCCAGCTTGATTAAAAAAAAAAAAAAGCAAGCATCTGTTGCTTTCATGTTTAAAAGCATAGGATATTAAAGCTAAAAGGGTCCCTAGAGATTACCTAGTCTATCTAGAGACAGTGACTCATATCAAAGATCACAAATAAAAGATTTAGGACTCCTGACTCCCATTCTGGTTTCTATTAGACTCTGCTTCTAGGGAAAATAACTGCCATCAAATAATGAGCCTCTACCTGCTACCCTTGAATATTCATCATCTCTCACCGTCACCACAACTTCACAAGATTATATTGATAAAGAGCAAAGCTCAGAAAGAATTTTCTCAAAACTATACCCACCATACCATGCTGCCAAAGTAACAATACAAACCCATATAAAGGACAGGAGACAGATTCCCAGGTTTCTATGGAGCAGTACTGGCAGTTTTTAAGCATTGCATAAATGTCTTCCTTGAATTTCAAATATCTATACTGCCTCAGCAAGATTTTAAGAAGATGGAGAGACTATGGGAGAAGAAAGGGAGAGAGTAGAAAAGGGTGAGGCTCCTACTCCTCCTATGGGCCTTCCAACCAGCAGGGTCCTGGGAAAGTAAGTAAGAAAATGTAGAGTCTGAAACCAGCTCCCTCCAAGCCTGGCCCAGCCTGGATAAATAAGCGAGGAGAGTAATAATACCACCTTATACCTGAATGGACCTTTAGTTTATCAAGCTTTTTGCGCCCCTTATCTTATTATAGTAATAATCTGGTAGGCTCAGAATTCATGGCTTATTTCCATTTTACAGATGGAGAAACTGCAACGCAAAACATAAAGTGAGTCGACCAAGGCTAAAATTGCAAGGCTGTTGTACTATCTAACACAGAGTTTGGCACTATTTCACTTTGCTTTCTCTCAAAGATGTGGCCTCAGGAGGGAAGACAAAAACAAATCACTGGAGAGCCCTGGCATCGTGGAACATAGACTCTAGCTAAATAGAAGGCTCCGGGAGATGGCCTTCTAGACCTCAATCTTGATGCAAAAATGCTTTTGCAGGCCGGGCGCGGTGGCTCACGCCTGTAATCCTAGCACTCTGGGAGGCTGAGGCGGGCAGATTGTTTGAGCTCAGGAGTTCGAGACCAGCCTGAGCAAGAGCGAGACCCCGTCTCTACTAAAAATAGAAAGAAATTAATCAGACAACTAAAACTATAAACGAAAAATTAGCCGGGCATGGTGGCGCATGCCTGTAGTCCCAGCTACTCGGGAGGCTTAGGCAGTAGGATCGCTTGAGCCCAGGAGTTTGAGGTTGCTGTGAGCTAGGCTAACGCCACGGCACTCACTCTAGCCAGGGCAACAGAGTGAGACTCTGTCTCAAAAAAAAAAAACAAAACGCTTTTGCAGCCTAAAAAAAAGATAATCCAGTTCTCCAGTAAGTGGCATCGTTTTCATTGTTAGAGCTAGAGAACAGAAGAACATCACTTCAGAAGTTACAGTTGAAGAGGAAAGTTGGGAGTTGTGGTGGGGGAAGGCTGAGAGCCAGAAGGTGAAATAAGCATCTGCTCCCTCGAATGCATTCAAGTGGAAAGGGGAACAGAAGATAAAGGGTGAAAAAAATGACCCAGGGGTGTGAGCCCATGGCAGACAGGCCAGGAGGGGCACTGGAGAGAAGCCATTGCTCAAATATCTCTACGATTGCTCGGTAGGAAAGGCACGTGCCCCTTGCTAGAGCAGCCAGTCCGCTCATTTCCCTATAGTTCTGAAACAAGACAGCAGCAGCCCAGTGTGAGAGAAAAACAAAAGCAAAAACAGAAAAGAGAATAAAACAGTGAACATTTATTATTTAATTTTCTAGATGCTGGGTTAGGTGCTTTGCACACATAACTCAAGTCACAACAAATCTACAGAGTAGGCATAATTATCTCTATATTTTCAGGAAAGAAAATTATAACCTCAGAAAGGTTAACTGAGATGAAGTGATTTGCCCAAGTGGTAGAACCTGGATTTGACTCAGGCTGGATCACAAGGAAGATGTTCTTTCTAAACCAAAAGGCACTGGTGTGGCTAGAAATCAATCAAGCAAATAAGCATTTATTCTTCAGAAATGACTGACTCTCAAGAAATGACTTGGTTTTCAAACTGATGCTCTAGGATAAACTTTTGGGAAGTAGGACAGAGGTTGATTCCTAGCTAGAACTTGCCTACAAGGCACCAGTTTACCTGGGCTTGAAAGGAAAAGGTAGTATCAGAGGAAAAATGCTTATCAATCAATTCACAAATACTTATTGAAATTTACTGCCTACAAAGCACTTTAGAGAGCCACAGTTACATACAGGGTTGCTTAGCAGATAAAGAGACCACAAATGCTTAATATAATTCTGACAAATAGAGCACCTACTAGCACAAAGCATGCAGATGCTGGGTGGATGCAAAGTACACACACCCAGCAGAGGAGCATGGCACCATCCCCTCCAAATCTAAGCCAACTTCATCAAACAAGGGAAAGAAAAACTCCTTATCACCACACAGTAATTCATTCAATAAATATTTACTGAGTACCTTCTATGAGCTGAGGATATTCATTAGTTAATTTGTCCTTTGTAATAATAGTTGAGTGAGGCCAGAAATCAGGGATCATAACCCTTCAAGGAACAAAGTGGGCAGTCAGGGAGAAAGACTAATTAAGATACTAGGCAGGCCATGGTAAGTGATGTATGAAAAAATTAAAAAATGTGCCACTATACACAAGGCAAATAATAATGTACAAGCAATCTGAGGATAGCTTCATGAAGGATATACCATGTGTTGTGCTTTGAAGCATGACTATAGTTTTGGCAAGTGGAGTGGTGGTGGTGGTGGTGCTGATGGAAGAGGGGAAGTGAGAGCCTTCCAGTCAGAAGACAGGATAAGGCAAATGCACGAAAGAGCTTTCAGAAAGTTATCCTGACAAATTACCCTGGATGGCTTATTTACTATGCACTAGATCCCAGTCGTTCTCTCCTATTCAAAGACATTCATCCAGGAATTGTCTCCTCTCTTCTGCATCAATTTTTCCCTCTTTATTG